GAAAAGTGTTCTTCAAACATTTAGAAAGACGGTTTCTAAGAATTTATGCTACGATGTATCACCTTTCAATTATCCCGCAGTAAATCTTATCCAATTATGATCCCTTTTGCATATAATTCAGCCATTCAGTCAGTCAGTCAGTCTGTCTGTTTTCGACATAGAACTTTGCACTGATGTACACCAGTTCAAGTCGCCACACTCCCTTCTTGTAGCACACAAAGCAAGAGAAGAAAGTAGAAGAAATGCATAATAGAGACAGTGAATAGAGGTGTGAGACAAAGGAATCGTAATACCGAAAAACAATATAGTTTCATTTGAAATCATAAGTCACAAGGAGTGAATGCATCTGCGCTAGTCATTGACAACGACGATTTTGAGCCATATCACCAAATGTCGCCAGCTAATGGTTTCAACTGTCCCGAGGACCTCAACCAGTTAAGAAGTCTACACCTTCCTACATCGCTGGCTTAAACTAACCGTTGTGGAATTCATTGACTGATGAGGCCATGTTTTGGTTTGACCACCACTGGCTCTTTTCCAACCTAATCCTATGTGAGTCAGCTAACATTGCCCATTGTCGAGGAAGGCGATGACTAGGAATGTGTACGTAACACATGTCTTCACCATCTCAGTCGATGTAATTTCACAGCCTCGTTGATTGATTTCCCCTCCTTACCTACCAGGCACTCGATTCACGCTCAATCTCAATATTGCTCACCTTAGTATACCACTTCACACACACGGGAGATAAAACGCAGACACCTATGATCGAAGACAGCTAGCTGGTCTTTTCCTATCTTCCACTCTCAATGGCCAGGTCTCGCTCACAGTCATAAAAGAGGACGGAGCTGACTGATGCGCAGTACACCCGCCTCATGGTCGATAGCCAGCCGGATATCACGTGTACGCCAGAGACGACGTAAACTGGCATATGCGAAACTAGTCCTCTGTATACATGCTGAGATTTTGTCAGAGATCAACCTTACTTACTTTTTTACTTTACTTCGGCTATCTCCTACGGGAGGATGAGCCGGCTTCATGAACGTCTCGAATCATCGCTGCCCAGGCGCGGCAATTTGTAAGAGAGTTCATGAAGTTTCATGGGAATTTGGTACGAGTGATGTCCCCAGAATCGCTCGGCCTTTTCTTTGAGAGTGCAGCTCTAGCCTTTACACAGCCAAGTGTGACCTACAAGGCAGTAGGGGTGGAGTAAGGAGTCCACTATCCATTGGCAGCCGGTGACCGGAGTTCGGTTCATACGCCTTTTTGAATGGGGCCAGACATCCAGGACATCCAACAAGCCCTTTGTCCATACGTCTGCCGGTGAGCTCCAGTGAGCTTCATACACCAGTCGTTGGAGGTTTGGAATCAGGGTTTAGCCATCTCCTCTAGACCGTCATCCAATGGACAGTCAACCCGGTGGAGAGCGCCGGGCATCCGCTTTCGCCCTCTCACTTTGGTGAGAAACACCTCCGCCACGTGAAGGCAGTGAGTAGGACTTCCTCAGGAGAGGCTATGTAAGACGCCCGGTCATATGGGAGCATTTCAAGAGGTGTACGGAGGGGTGGCCAACCCGCAGCGCAAGGAACCCACCCCCGACCATCCTGAGGCTTTGGAGGCAACCCGTTGACACTGGCTGATGGCACATCCCGAATAAGTGAAGCCGTCAACGTGTTCTACCATTTCACTCCCTATTTCTAAACTAGGAGTCAGTGTAGTCCAGTCCTGCCATTCAGTCATTTAGGAAGAGTAACTTTGAGTTTGAAATCTTTTTAACCATTCAGCCTTATATTTCCTTTCAATGGGAGTATCTCCTCTTTCGGTGCTTATTTTCTTGTTATGACGTGCTATTTTTTATCACCAAAGCTTTTGTGTTTTGTTAATTCTTGTTTTTATCGTTATTATTATCACCATCATCGTTATTTCGATTTGTTGTAAAACGTTTAATATTCCGTATTCTTTATTTCTCATCTTTATTTTTTGTAATGACTATTCGTGTAGAAAGCGTTTTCATCTATTTTTTTATCAATGTGTAGCCCTTATCTTTTATGAGTGCTCATTAATTTTTTGATTTATTTCCAGTTAATTTTCTTTTTTTTTGTCTTCTTATCTTATCTTATCTAATAGTATAATTATTGTTGAAGATTAATCATATTTGATTGGAAAAAAACTTATTTTAATGCGTATTTTGCTAATTTTTGAAGGGAAGCGCTTCACATTGTGTATATAGGAAAAGACAGAATATGAAAGTGATGGAAAGTTCCACTTCCTTGACATTGCCATGCAATACCCCTAGTAGAAGACGGTAGTCTTCAGTCAGAAGGCAACTTATCGAAAGCCTACATGGAAAGGAAAATTTCCTTACATTTTTAAAACATTTGTTCGAATAGCTCTAAACGCGGACTAGTCAAGACTCTGTACTATAGAGAGTGGAGAATATGCTCAGCAGAGAGATTAGACGAAGAATTTGAGTTTCTTGAAGAGATATTGAAGAGAGCATTGGGGACCCTCAAAGGTTCATCAACAAGTATGGAAGATCTGAAGTCACAAAAATGTAAAATAAATCACAGTGAGTAGAAAGCCAATCTACTCTCAGCTTGATTATATAGGTGAAAACATTGCAGAAATGGTCAACAGAAGGCTGAGTACATGACTAACTAGCCAGAGCTTATCCTGCAGCTAAGCTCGTTCCCGTCTATCGAACAACTTGCTCGTCTCTGGTTCAATCAAAAATCGACAGATATCCATCCTTCTCATGTTAACAACTCCAACTGTATATACAAATTTACATGTGTATGCAGGAGCAGTTAGATTGGAAGAACAGAAAGAAGAAGGGCATATCAACGATTTTCTGAACATGTACCAAAAAGCTTATGTTTAAAGGATACAAATGCTTTAAAGAGTGCCATCGCTAGACATCTCCTTGACACGGGTCATGGGTGGACGTCGAAAAGTCGTTCAGAAGAGCTCAATTCTCCTCAAGTTTGCTGAAGCCATTTCCATCAATCGCCTGAAACCTGATTTGTGCGTTTAGAAAGAAGTAGTTACCAATCAGTCTTCCTTTGCCCTGCTTGGCAACTGGATACTTTCACCCCTCTTTCTTCTGAGTGCGAAATGCTGAAAAGTTTCCACTGTATACATTTCATAATGTCTTTGGCCTGTAAGCAGCTGACGAGAAGGCAACGAAGTAAACAAACGATGGTATCACTTTATTCTACAAAAGCTATAGTTCTTGCCTTGTTCAAATTCATTAAGGGGAATAAATGTATGAAAAGACAAAGTGACGGGTGTTTACGATTAAGGCTTATTATTATTATTATGTATTCCTTGTGATTTGGAGTGGAATATAAGACTTTTGTTACAGAATTTTATGAATAGCTGCCCACTTCTCTTGCTCCTTGGTGACAGCTGGCTGACTAGCCAGAAAGAATTAGCAACAAGTAACTCTGACTGGCAACAAACCAAGCCAACAAATATGTTGGGGTGGGGTGGGGGGTGTAATGGAGATGGGTTGGTCGAGCATACGTCTAGGATACCGTTGAATGATATCCCGCGCAATGCAGGCCATTGCTCGAATGGAATCCTCAGTGGGACAGCTGAAGCCTTGACAATTCATGACTTTAAGCCAGACCTTTGTGTACAAAAGAAGTGTGTACAATCCCTAGTTCTGCCTTGGCCGTAAAGGGATAGACATTTATTTATTTTATTGATTTAGTTATTCTATATACCTTTCCCGTATTACTACGATTATTATTATTATTATCATCATTATTATTATTACTATTCTCAGTCTGAATCTTTTCCAGTTAACCCACCTGTCATTTTAAATCCAAAATTATTAATTTTTATAGTATTGAATTCTATGTTATCAAAGTTTACACCATATTATTTAACATTTTATATCAGCTTGTTAATCCTATAATTATACACCGCTTTCCAACATCTATATACCTTATGTATTATTCTTATATATGACATTAATCGTTTTACCCATCGTTGATATTAAACTATGATTATAATCACAAATATTTTTATTTTAACTGCATTTCATACCACTATTATTATTTCATGTATTCACACCTTCGATTCAATTCCCTCACGGGATATAATTTCTTTGAAAACAGCACGTATATATGTATAAATACGATTTTGCGGTTAGCTTGTTAGTAAATTCCTGGTTGTGAAAATAGTCTCTTCGTTGAATATTGTGTTCTTGAATTTACATTCAAGACTGTAATAACTTTTTTTGCAGATAGCCTTTATCATGAGAAGAAAATTTTCAAAAGAATAGATACTGAACGTAGATAATGAGTGTACAAGAATCCTTCTCTATCATCATCTACCGAGTACCTGATAAATTGCGAAAAAAAAGTCGAAGCACCACAGGCACCAAACAGCAAAGGCTATTGCAATTCGCTTCAAACAACCAGTGCTCTGTGTTCAGAAGAAGCATGTCCAGCCCCTACCCACTGCCCTGACTGGCCTTCAGTAGAGACTATAAATTCACGAATTTGTAATATTATCCTTTCTAATTTTTATGACATTCAGTGTGTATTGTTATGTTGATGCTATTGAGCTGTAATCTATCAGTATTATTGATTGATTCGATGTTATTTAAACAGCGACATTAATGTTGTTCATAACACTAATTCATTCATTCATTTACTATAATGTGTATATATGTATAACTGCAGAGCCTGATGCTGAAGGTGTTATCGAAAAGAATATTCTTTGTTCACTATCCATTCTTTTGAAAATTTTAATGGGTAATTTTAATCAGTCAAAAAAATTTTTTTCTCTAAATATCTGCTGGTTTGATTTCACCAGAAATTATCAATGTACAAGAATATAAACAAAATAGCGGAAATGTATTTTCTCATTAGGGTCTCTAGATAAAATGGTTGTGTGTGTGTGTGTGTTCAAGTGAGACTTGTTTTCCCTGATCAACTAACATCTCTCTCTCTCTTTTTCTTTGTCTCCGGTGTAATCACGAAACATAGCATTTAGTTTGGATGTTGAGCTTGAAAATTGAACCGTCAGCCAAGTTATTTTTTAAAGCAGTCCATCATGAATCTGGAACAAGTGGTGGTGGTGGTACACCATCAGGAAGCGTTGTTAATTTAACTAATACAATCAATGAGAAGCAGACACCGCTAACAACAACAACTAGCTCTGGTGGTGGTGGGGGACATGGACAGCAAACTTCAGTATCGACTCATGCATCCATATCATCTGAATTAACCTTGTTATCGTCAATGATGACACAAATTTTTATTCAATCAAGGTAAGTATATATATATGCATATAATTTCCTTTAATTCCTAAAAGAGCCTTGGGATTTTCAGCCACACACGTCTTCATTGCGTTAGGTTCCCTGTTAAAGTTTCCACCTGGCTCCAAGACTGCCCGCATACTTCGATCTCCTCTTCACATGACATCCTCAAAGTCACACTCACACTGACGACCACCTCCCCGATTGCCTTTCGTGTTCCACTCGAGCAATGACTTGTCTAGTGATGTCACTTGATGGTTTGTTTCCTCAGAGTATGGCCAATGCAATGCACCTCCATTTCTTCCTGCTTATTTGTTGGACAATCGGTTCCTCCTGTGTTGGTTCGTATATTGTCAGAGATCCCTGTTGATTATCTTTTCTGGCCGACTATCTGATCTTGAGTGGTATTGAGCGAAGACAGCTGTTGATGAAGGTGTGTAGTTTGTTTAAGGTGCTCTTTATGACGCACCAAGTCTCTGATTCATATGGTAAGTAGCACTGACTGGCTTCACATTGAAGTTGAAAATCTGGATCTAATTTTTGATGGTGAGTGCTGTTGACCTCTACATAGACTTGAGTGTAGTGAAAGCTTGTCTTGCTTTCTCAATTCTGGCTTTGTTCTCTGTTTTCTCTATGTTCACTTGAAGTCCTATCTTTGATGCTTCTTCTGTCGACAACTTGTTGCTTTTCACTTGCATATCTCCCAGTTTGTGGGAAATCGGACGGAAACATATCATCGGCGAAGATGAGATCCTCCAAGTTTCTTGTGTGGGTCCATTTTATGCCTGTTTCCCGCGTTGCTCGGCCCGCTGTCTATCGCATTATCCAATCTACTGCCCTCAATCAAGAAAATCATTGGCGATAGTAGACAGCCCCTTGCCTTACTCCCGTCTTCACTTCGAAGGATTCTGTAAGTTTCTCGTTGCGGATTACGTGGCATGCAGCATTGTCGTACAACTGTTGGATGAGATGTATAATTGTCAGTGGTACTTCTCGGTCGACGCTGTCGAAGGCCTTTTCGATATCGATGAAGTTGAGATAGACAGGTGATATATATATATATATATATATATATATATATATATATATATATATATATATATGAAAATGGCACAAACAGCGGAAGAAATTTTCCTTTCGACGATTCATTTCCCACTCTGCTGTATAATCGTAATTATATTAACAAAGAAATGTGTAGACCAATCAGATACTGGTTAAATTTGTCCTTGAAAAATATTTATTGCCTAATGTAAGGTGTAACCTAGAAGGGATGACAAATTGTAAGTTAGAAAAGAGACAGAAGTTGGCGTGACGTAATAAGTGTGAGATAATGACTAATCATTAAGCTCGTGTAGAATGGACAGGAACTAGTGGAAAGGCGGTAAAGTGTGTTTATATAAAATCTGTATGTTTTTACGAGTTGATCACGGATTGATATTAGTTAGAGAACCATTGAAAACCCATCAGAAACAACTGGATAGTCGTTGCGTCCTAGTTTTCATGGGAATCATCGCCAGTACGCACCCACTGGGATTCGAACCCAGGGCCTTCCGGTTACAAGTCAAGCTCGTATGCCATTCAGCCACTGGGACCCGATTCAATGGCCAGTCCATGAAATCTAACTTCTACCAATTCGTGATTTAGCAATGGTTTCAATGGTTCCCTAACTGACATCAATCCGTGATCAACTCGTAGAAACATGACTAACCCTTACAAACCAAACTAAGAATATCTGTATGAGAAGCCTTGTTATCAATAAACAGTAATAGACTGGTAACAAAATGTGTATGGTGAGAATAATAATGATAATAAAAGTATTATTAACAATAATTATAATATTAATAGCGAACTTACATAATAAAAGAAATAAGCAAAATTGTGGTACGAACTTTACTCTGGCCATGGTAGGGTGAGGGAATGTATGTTTTTCTTTTGAATGCAGAGGTTCGGTTCGAGATCTCAAATGGCTGATACTTCAGCTATGTACAGATGGCGTATCCGAATTCCCTTTGGACGATATTGAGAGACTCTGTGTCACAATATGAAGCATTCATGTAGGGGTGCTCAATGTCCGGGGATGACAAGGTGTTCGAGGATAGAGCTGGAGCTATTCTTCTTTTCTCCTCTGGCTGGCTAAACAAGCTGGAAATTGTTCCAGAATACGATTGTAGACTTGAAGTTGCGTACGGCAGATATGTCTGTCTGTCTGGATTCAACATAGAATGTGGCACCGAAGTGCACCAGTTCGAGTTGCCACGTTCCAAATAGCACACACACAAAGGTAGACAAGAAGATGAGTGAAGAGAATCAATAGAGTTTCACAAGTATAAGAGTGAAACAGAACGGGTAATGGTAGAAAGGAATATGAAAGATTACAGAGACTGAATACATCTGCGCTGGCCATTGATAACGATTTTGAGCCATTTCGCCTATTGTCTCCAGCCATTGATTCCTAGAGTCAGTCCCGAGGGCCCCAACCCGGGAGTGTGCATCTCCCTGTCTGTCTGTCTGTTTTCGACATAGAACTTTGCACAAATGTGCGGAAGTTCAAGTCGCCACATTCCGTGTAGCACGCGAAGCAAGAGAAGAAAGTACAAGAAAAGCATAATAGAAACAGTGAGCAGAGGTGTGAGACAAAGGGAGAGTGATAACGAAGAACAAAACAGTTTCATTGAAGATCATAAGTCACAGGGAGTGGATGCATCTGCGCCACTGAGAACGATTTTTAGCCATGTCACCAATTGTTTCCAACCATAGATTTTTACCGTCCCGAGGACCCCAGCCTGGAAGTCTACACCTTCCTACGTGGCTTAGACCAACTGTTGTGGATTTTATTGACTGGTGCCAAGTTTTTGTTTGACCGCCGCTAGCTTTTTTCCAGCCTGACCCTATATCCGCTAACATTGCATCTCCCTACCTACCTGACTCAGTTTAACTGTCAAGGATTTCATGGATTGATGAGGCCATGTTTTTGTTTGGCCACCACTTACTCTTTTCCAACCTGCACCTATATCAGCTAGTAATGCCCGTCGTCGGGGGAGGCGATGGTTAGGCATGCGCACCACGTCACCTAGCCATCTGAGTCTATGTAACTTTATTGCCGCGTCGATTAATTTCCCTGTTTGCCCAACACTCTACGCCTAACGTCAACATTACTTACCTTGTTAAACCACCTAACGTGAGACAGAGATCGCAGACATCTATGATCGAAAGCAGTCAACCTTTTCATGTCTTCAACGTGTATTGGCCATGTTTCAGAGCCATAGACAAGGACGGAGCGAACTGGTGAGCAGTACACACGTCCCTTGGTTGATAGCCGGATGTCACGCCTACGCCAGAGATGGTGTAAGTCAGCGAAAGCACCTCGAGCTTTTTGGATCCTTGCTGAGATTTCATCGCCAATCAGTCCGTTGGTGCTAATACAACTTCCTGAATAGGTGAAGTGGTCAACATGTTCTATCACTTCACTCCCTATCACTAAGTAAGGGATTGACGTGGTCCAGTCCTGTATCAGCATCTTACATTTTGCAGGGGCGAATCGCATGCCAAGCATACGAAGATTACTGCTCAAGGTGTTCAGAAGACTCTGTGGGATTTTTTCAGCATCCTCCCCTAACAGGACTATGTCATCTGCATATTCTAGGTCCATAAGACTATTCCCTGGTAACAAGTCGATTCCTAAGTCGTGACGTTCAGTTAAGGATACTTCCATCAGCATATCTGTTATGTACTCCTCGCTAAATTATTGTTATATACTGGTCGAGAATTTAATAGTCCTGACGCAAGAAGGCGGAAATCAGAAGACCACTAGGTTTGCGATGATACTTCTATTTTCCAAACACAAGGAGAAGCAATAAGTGGTATCACACCAAAGTAAGAAAAGTAGGTGTAAGTCACACAAATTGTGAGAGCGAAATATATATGAATGTTCAGACAAAGGTGTGAACAATCATTAGACAGTCTTAACATGAATGGCTAATTATAATGAAGCATCGGTCCATATATACGTAGCGAAATATAGCAGACATGTCAACAACCACCATATATGGATATATGTCACCAAGCAACGGACTGTCAACAAACACTCATATTATATATAATATAAATGGAGTATACATTGTTAAAGGAGACAGGTTCATACAAGTGAAATGGTCACAGACTAAGCGAGCAAACAGAAAGAGAGACCAACACACACACACACACATAAATATATATATATGTGGATACATGTCAATATCTATGATGAAGTTAAGCAGAAATGGGGAAAGTGGACATCCCTGTCGCCCCCCCCTTGTTGTTATCAATTCAGATGACAATTCCCCATAAGCCCTTACACGACTACGTGAGTTTGAATAGAGTGCCTTGATTAGTGCAATGTACTTTCTTGGCACTCCCTTCACAGTCAGACATTGCCATAGTACCTTTCGATCCACGGAGTCGAAGGCCGCCTTCAAGTCAAGAAATATGACAATTGTTGGACGCCGAAAAGTGTGTCTATGTTCTAGAATCTGTCGAAGAGTGAAGATATGATCTATGCACCCTCTACCTGGTCTAAAGCCTGCTTGATTTTCCCTTGTCTGTTCCTCCCGAGTTCTGCTTAGTCTATGCATGATTACTGAGCCTAGGATTTTAGAGACTATGTTCGTTAGGCTGATCCCCCTATGATTATCACACGAGGACTTGTTTCCCTTCTTGAATATCGGTATAATAAGTGACTTACCCCAGTCTGATGGACTGTCTCTGATTCCCAGACTTTGCCTAGTACCTCAGTTAATCTACAAACTAGTATGTCACCCCCATATTTAAACACCTCCGGAATAATTCCGTCGGGTCCTGCCGCTTTGCCTCGTTTCAAATTACTGATAGCTTTTGTAACCTCACTACAGACGGCGGACCAGTGTCTATATCCCATTCGGGTGTGGTGGATGGCGGGGAGGTTCAGTGTGGCTGTAGGCAAGTTAAATTGTTCCTCAAAGTGTTCTTTCCAGCGTTCAAGGCGTCTATCCTGAGAGCTAATTAAGGAGCCATTTTTCTCAGAAATAGTCTCACTTATGATTTCCTTCTCCCCCCGTTCTGTGATGAGTCTAAAGAGTTGCCTAGTGTTGCCTATCGCCGATGCTTTTTCCATCTCTTTTGCCTTTGTCACCCACCACTGTTCACGGTCCTTGCGGAGACTTTTAGTAAGTTTCCTTTTGTGCAGCTTTCGCTCCTCATTGAATTCGGAGCTCGCCGGAATAAGTCTTCTAGCATCTATCAGTTCGGATGAGGCAGTCGAAATCCAGTGGTTTTTACTCACCTTTGGATTTGCCTTATTCACAGCTTTTACAGCTGTATCTATAGCTGACTGAATATTCTTCCAGGCTTCTCCAGGGTGAGCACAGCTGTCGAACACAGATATGCGTTTAGCTAGTTCTTCCTCAAATAGGGATTTAGTTTCCTGATCGAGCTGGGGACGTGATGGTTTTACCGCCAGCTGTTTCCTACGTCCGTTCAGTCGTAAGCACACACGAGCCCGGACCAGTGCGTGATCGGTATCTACACACGTGTTCCAGAAGGAGCGACAATCTCCTACCGACCCACGCCAACGATAGCTTATTGCTATGTGGTCTATTTGTGTCCAGCGTTGGTTTGATGATGGGGGTCGCCAGGTTAAACAGTGTCTCTCCTTGTGTTTAAAGTTAGTGCTTACAAGAAACAAATGATTATCTGAACAGAACTGTAGGAGACGGTCACCGTTGTCGGTTCGCTGGCACGGAACTCCATAGGTGCCACCGACATCCTTCTCAGATTGACACAATTTCCCTACTTGAGCATTAAAGTCACCAGCTAGAACGACTATATCTGAGCGTTTAGCCTTTCTCACCAAACTAGACAGCTTTTGGTAGAACTCATCCTTCGTTTCATCCGAACTGCAGTCAGTGGGGGCGTAGGCGGAGATTACGAAAAGGCATCGGCGAGTAGTGCAGTCCTTTCTCCTTCTTACTGATCCGTTCAGACGGACAGCACACATTCGGCTATCTACCGGGATCCAGTCAAGTAATGTCTTTTCTGCCCTAGTACTCAAGCTATCCCTACGCCAGCTAATCCTCGTGAACTAGCTGTGGCATCTCCTGACACCCTCAAGGTGAATTTTGAAGATTCATCCTGTTGGCCAGGTGGGGTTAGGTGAATAACCACACTTGGGTCTTGTATGCGTGTTTCTGAAACACAACATACATCAATGGCTCGAGATGCCAGGGTCTTAGCTAGTGATGCTTGTTGTCCTATTTGGCAAAGTGTCCTAACATTAAATGCTCCTATATGAAATTGGTGGCGTGGCTTTAGGAGACTATCGGGGTGGTTTTTTGGCTTCCGTCGTTTTTAGTGGACACAGAGTGAAGAGGGAGTGAGGAGCCATCAAGTAGAGGAGTTGCATCATTGGGAGGAAGGCAAGGTAATAGAGATGAAGATGAAGACAAAGATAAGTGAGGATTAGAGAGGTTTTGTGTGCATTTCGGATTGTGAGGGCGTTTGTTACTTCCCGGCTGCCCACACCGTGGAAGTTGGTTGCGTGACCGCAGAGCCCAGGGGACAACTGCTTGAGGCCGGTCACACGCGGCCTGTTTTTGTTTGTTCTTTTTTGTTTGGTGTGCCTCAGTAGCATACTTATCACTCCTGCCCTGTGACACGGCAGCAGGAAGCGCGGTCGTTGTTAATCCGGGCCACGGCCGATCCGGCATGAAATTTTGTGAATTTGTTTGAATCATGGTATTGGATGGGTAGCTGCTTTTTGTTTAACCGCTATCCAAACAACCTGCCTGGCATGGTAGAACCTCAAGAGACATAAGTCTCAGCCAGTATAGCTTGATTAGGTCATTGCGGTGTTCAAGCCCGACCACCACGTCAAGGTAGCAGCTTTCTGTCGGGACGGCAGATATACTTTGCTCCACACGAGCAAGTAAATTGATAAATACACATTGAAATGGTCAAAAGCGGTATCTTGTCCTTAGCGTTAGACTGGATTAACTGTCTGCAGGAAATGTGATACGTACAGTGGCTGTTGGCGATGTCTCTTTCAGATATTTAGAAAGGCGGTTTGTGAGAATTTCTTCCGCGATATCACCTTTGAATTCTAGATTCATGAGGAGGAGAGTCTTCTTAGGAACCGTTGCAATGTCTGGCACCGGCGGCTTCTCTTCCATGTTTTTGTCGATAAATCTTGGTGGATACCCATTCTCTAGTAGGGTTTCACGTAATAAATATAATTCTATCTCTACCATGTCTTCTGAGTAGATTTTTCTAATCCTTGATCACAATGTACGTACCAGGTTTCTCATTTGGATCAGTGGGACAGAGCTCTGGAAGTTGATAAACTGTCCCGTCCCTGTTGGCTTGCGGTATATAGATCTTTGGAACGTACAGTCGTGTCTTCTGTTTAGTAGCATATATATATATATATATATAATATATATATATATATATATATATATATATATATATAGAACATATGTTGTCTAAGCCGACACATGCTGCATTATTATCTGAGGGTGAGTATGCACATGTCATGACCGAACTGCTTCTCAGAGGAATAGCATGAACCTTGTTGGTAGGATATCCGTCGCTGTTACTAGAATACACGAATCCGAATACCAATGCATAGGATACATTTTCGTCAAGTGGCTCCGCAAAGTCCTCCTGCTTCACAGTTGATTACGGTTAATATATACTCCACACCTCCGCAGTTGCTTGTTGTAAAGTGTAATCAGCAGCAACTCTTCGTACTTCTCTGATTTGACTCTTAATTTGCACTGTTTCTTCCTTGCAGTTGATCTAGCTTGCCTATATTGCATTATGACAGAATACCAATCTCAATAGGGAAGATATACTTTCATTGGACACTAGTAACTAGTTTGACGTGTGTCTGGCTAGTCCTTTCTTTGGTGCAGACTGAATTCTATCAGTCAGTCAGTCAGGTTTGCAATGTGGCCAATATGCCACTAGGTGGTAGCTCGCCATCACGGTGCACACATTAATTTGATGATATTAGATAGTTGAAGGCGATTGGCAAGAACCCTTGGACAGAACCTAGGTTTCGTGCTAGTTGGCGCTCGTCAGTCAGCAAGGCGTGTCTGCAACCTTGAAAGGTCTAGACACGTCACACTAGTTACTAGTGTCAAATCAAAATATCCACTACAGTCCTACAGTAGGTCAATCGCGAGCCCGAATAGGTCATTGGTAACGTCTCTGACTGCAGTACTCACTGAGTGACGCGAGTTCGAATTTCAGAAGGGACATGAGTTCCTTCAAGATAGCAGATACGCCTTTCTGACTGGTGAGTGCCAACTAGCACGAAACCTAGGTCCCGGCAAGGCTTCCTGTGGCCGATTGCCTCCAACTATCTAACAGGGAAGATATACACTAGGCATCGATCTTGACTGGTATCTCAGGTGTTAAAAAGATGGTGAGTTCTTAGATGACGAGTGACTAATAAATTGGGTAACAAAATATACTTAGTTCAATTCAAGTCATAGAAGCCAGAGACAAGCAAAATTACAATGCAGCAAAGTCGGTGGGATGTAGAGTTAAAGCCGAGGATTGCGTAATCGAATGAAAGAGAAAGACAGTGAAGATATTCAGTTAACAGACAAGTGAAGAAAGATGACGGATGCTAACTGCTTTTTTCTGAACACACACACACATGAATCAAGTTTCAGGAGTTCGCTAGAGATTTCTTCTGCAAACTTGAGGAGAATTGAGATTTTTTTGACTGTTGGTAATTTTAAAGGGTTTCATGGTGTCCACCCCACCTCATATTACCTGTATCAAGGAGATTCTGCCTGGTAATGGCACTATTTTTAAGTAGACGTTTGTTCCTCTTCTGAAGACGTAGGCTTTCGTTATATGTTGAGAGGATCGGAGATGTGCGTGGCTTCTTATTTTTGTTCTGTCAATGTAACTGCTTCTGCAGATACACGTAAATTGGTATACACAGTTGGAAGTTGTTGATATGAAAAGGATATATGTCGACTTCTGACCGCACCAATGGGCATGTTGTCCGGTAGTCAGGAACCAACTTAGCTGGCTGCAGAATAGGCTGTGGTTAGTGACTTACACACTCTTCTCTTCACTATCGCTGCAATATTTATTTAGGCTGTAACCAATCAGCTAGTGAGAAGCCAACGAAATAAGCAATGATGGTATAATTTTGTCTTCTGCAAAAATCTTTACTAATTTTTACTACTATTATTAGTATTATTACGTTACTAGGTAATATTGACACAAAATATATATGTTCATCTAATTGATCTTGTATAATAATGATTTTTTAACTAAACACTAATTGACCTTTTATGAAATTACCCAATAATGCAATTTGCATTTTCAATCCCTTTTGCTTCCTATCTCATCCATCACTGATGGCTTTCATTGCCGAAATAGTCATTTGAATGTGAACGCTTTACACAGTCTCATCTCAGCTCTTTGCCGTTTATCATCGGATACACTGGAAGCAGTGAAAAATAACCGAGTAAGTGTCAGTTTGCTTTTATTTTGTCTTGTGTTCCAGTTTATAATATACTTTACGGGTGCTTTTCTCGTCCTCTTCTGTGTATTGGGGTCAAGTAAAACTTTAGGCACGGCTAACTAACTATCAATCAGCGAATGAGCTGGAATAGTCCAATGAAGTTCATGCACGTGAATTCGAGGTTTTGTTACGTGTATGATTCGTATCAAACGCCTTCTCTAACGAAGTTACGCTCGCATTTCAATGAGGAATAGGTTTTGTAGTGTATTGCCTGGATTTTTTGGATTGCTTATGAAGGCGAAGATTCCTTCATGTAGAGGTGTGTAGCATGAGTTTAAAAAGCTTTAGCAGGTCGATAATGGATACATCCATCGTTGTGTAATTTGCTTGAGACGAGTGAGTATTAGGGAAGGTAAGCTGATGATATGATATTAATATTTCGTAGGAACAGTTTTTTTTAGTGCGTCGGTGGCACAGCGGTTAAGACGCTCGCCGACCATGCACATGGTCCGGGTTCGAGCCCCGGCCGGCGCACACCTTTACCTCGCTAAGCCAGTAGTGAGACTAGTGAAGAGGAAAGGTTGGACATGAGGCTAGCAACCCCATCCTGTAAAAAATCATCACTGCTACGGAATCTTCAAGCCTATAGCTTGGAGCCCTATGTTCCACTGGGAAAGTGAAGGAGAAAAAAGAAAAAAAAGGGACAGTTTTTAACTAGATCGCATCTCTCCCTAACCCAGATTTTGTATATATTTATAATTACTGGGTTTTAAAACAGCCTATGAGAGTCGCAACTGCCGAAACTGAAAGAAAGCCTCATGTCAACAGTATCAACTGCAGAGATATCGCCTCATGGAAAATGGAGAGAATTACCTCGTTGAGAGGCGGAGAAGGTGTCTTCGTACATATGTGGATGAAATTGTCTTATTGAAGAAAAAATACAACCGTGGTGTTCGTTAGCGAGCCAACAATATTTGTCTTCGTGTGCTTTTGGAAGTGTGTGGGCGGTTGTTACTTCCCGACTTGCCCAAACGTTGAAAGTTGATTGACTCTTCCGGTACCTGAAACAGAGAGATAGGGTTAGTGTTACGTGATCGCAGAGCCCAGAGGATAGCTGTTTGAGGCTGGCTGGTGATACACAGCCTGTCTGAACTGGCTTTTTGGTTTGATTCCGTATTAGTAACTTACCGCCGGTTACGGTCCACCGTAGGTAAGTGAGTCGGGATGTACAACTTTTGGGATCGACCTTTACTAATCCTCTCTCTCCGGAGTGGAGAGACAGCATAGCTGACATTCTGGTCATCTGAGGGAAACATCTTACTGCTGTTACATCCCTGTTCCTCAGCAGTACGACTTCGCCCTCAGACCCCCAGCATTGTGTAAGAAATATTCCTACACAATTCCGGTAACAGCTTTTAGTCTAATCGCTATCCTAACAACCTTCCTGGCATGGTAGAACCTGCAGGAATATTGGTTCCAGCTAGTGCAGCTTGTTGGGTCATCGCGATGTGCAGGCCCGACCACCACGTCAAGGTAGCAGCTATCGGTCGGGCAACAATGTTTGGGTGATCGGTTTATATGATACCTCCCTGCAAAAAAGATTTGTGGAGAGAATACGAAACAGAAAGTCATTCAACTGGTGAAACACGGATATATAGTACATACCTATGAATGGAAAGGTTATCACTGTCTGTCATCCCTTGTATATACTTATCACAGAATGAACCATTCTAGTGATTTTGTGGATCCCATCACAGGGACACACACGAATTCTATGGAAGGATTTCAGGGAAGATTAAAAACATATGATTAGGGTTGTAAATCGATCTTAAAAGACTATCATTTATAATTCCATATTAGTTTGTTTATTAGATGTATTACACAGTCAGTGAAACAGTATTAGTATTTACTGGATGACGTTTCGAACAAAATTTATTGTTCATAATCATATCAATTGTAATTACACGACTTTAAAACCTGAGTTTTATAACTTTCTCTGTCCTCTCCTACTTGTCATCGTTGGGGTAGTAGAAGTTTCCAAATATTAGGGACAGGTGATGAATCATTCCTATTACACGTTTTGATTTGCAGTTGATTCGATAAAGAAAGCTTTTGCTATCAATCTCTCCCTCCACCCTGTTATATTGGATTAGATTTTAAAACTATCATCCTATCCCATCCAGCTTATTGTATGGTTGTGTGTAACTGGATGTAGTGCTATAGCTGAACTATTCTCTAGATTTCTTGTCTTATTCGGGTCAACTAATCTAGATTTTGGTAATTTTTTTGTTCGACCAGTCTGGCTCTCCCTGTTCTACGAGTTTGACCTATGTATTTGACCTGACAATCATTCCTGCAGGGTATTAGATAAACTGAATTGTTTTGTTTTAAAGGCTCCATAGGATTGATCCTTTAACTGACAAAACTTGTTTCTAATTGAGTTTGTGGGTGGTTTGAATGCCGGCCACTTTTATTCCTGCATTGTTAAGAATTCTGTGTAAGGTTTCCGAGGTTCCTGGATTGTATGGAATTACTACATATGATTTTGAGTCCTTATTTTTGGTGTTGTCTTGCACATATTTGACATGCATGTCGTCATTAATAATAATATTATTATTATTATCATTATTACTATCACTACTATCATCATTTATTTTATTTTTACATTTCCCTACATACTTTCTGACTAATTTACCAGGGTAATTAATAAGTTTCAAAGCTTCTCTCATATGTCTCACTTCCTGTCTTAGATTTTCCCTAGGACTACTTAGTTTTGTGCTCTATCACTTAAACATTTCACCAATCCTATATTTACTGATATAGGATGGGATGCTTGGAAGTCCAAATATCTGTTTGAATGCGTGGGTTTCCTGTAAACACTAGTGTGTTTAACTTTCCATCCTCCTTCCCTTTTACGTTGCAATCTAACATTCGAAGCTCTCCTTCCTGACTTCCCAATTCAATAGCTATCTTTTCCCACCTATCCATGAATATGTCTTCTACAACCGGGGATATTGGTGATCCCATGGCATGGCCGGCGCACACCTTTACCTCGCTAAGCCAGTAGTGAGACTAGTGAAGAGGAAAGGTTGGACATGAGGCTAGCAACCCCATCCTGTAAAAAATCATCACTGCTACGGAATCTTCAAGCCTATAGCTTGGAGCCCTATGTTCCACTGGGAAAGTGAAGGAGAAAAAAGAAAAAAAAGGGACAGTTTTTAACTAGATCGCATCTCTCCCTAACCCAGATTTTGTATATATTTATAATTACTGGGTTTTAAAACAGCCTATGAGAGTCGCAACTGCCGAAACTGAAAGAAAGCCTCATGTCAACAGTATCAACTGCAGAGATATCGCCTCATGGAAAATGGAGAGAATTACCTCGTTGAGAGGCGGAGAAGGTGTCTTCGTACATATGTGGATGAAATTGTCTTATTGAAGAAAAAATACAACCGTGGTGTTCGTTAGCGAGCCAACAATATTTGTCTTCGTGTGCTTTTGGAAGTGTGTGGGCGGTTGTTACTTCCCGACTTGCCCAAACGTTGAAAGTTGATTGACTCTTCCGGTACCTGAAACAGAGAGATAGGGTTAGTGTTACGTGATCGCAGAGCCCAGAGGATAGCTGTTTGAGGCTGGCTGGTGATACACAGCCTGTCTGAACTGGCTTTTTGGTTTGATTCCGTATTAGTAACTTACCGCCGGTTACGGTCCACCGTAGGTAAGTGAGTCGGGATGTACAACTTTTGGGATCGACCTTTACTAATCCTCTCTCTCCGGAGTGGAGAGACAGCATAGCTGACATTCTGGTCATCTGAGGGAAACATCTTACTGCTGTTACATCCCTGTTCCTCAGCAGTACGACTTCGCCCTCAGACCCCCAGCATTGTGTAAGAAATATTCCTACACAATTCCGGTAACAGCTTTTAGTCTAATCGCTATCCTAACAACCTTCCTGGCATGGTAGAACCTGCAGGAATATTGGTTCCAGCTAGTGCAGCTTGTTGGGTCATCGCGATGTGCAGGCCCGACCACCACGTCAAGGTAGCAGCTATCGGTCGGGCAACAATGTTTGGGTGATCGGTTTATATGATACCTCCCTGCAAAAAAGATTTGTGGAGAGAATACGAAACAGAAAGTCATTCAACTGGTGAAACACGGATATATAGTACATACCTATGAATGGAAAGGTTATCACTGTCTGTCATCCCTTGTATATACTTATCACAGAATGAACCATTCTAGTGATTTTGTGGATCCCATCACAGGGACACACACGAATTCTATGGAAGGATTTCAGGGAAGATTAAAAACATATGATTAGGGTTGTAAATCGATCTTAAAAGACTATCATTTATAATTCCATATTAGTTTGTTTATTAGATGTATTACACAGTCAGTGAAACAGTATTAGTATTTACTGGATGACGTTTCGAACAAAATTTATTGTTCATAATCATATCAATTGTAATTACACGACTTTAAAACCTGAGTTTTATAACTTTCTCTGTCCTCTCCTACTTGTCATCGTTGGGGTAGTAGAAGTTTCCAAATATTAGGGACAGGTGATGAATCATTCCTATTACACGTTTTGATTTGCAGTTGATTCGATAAAGAAAGCTTTTGCTATCAATCTCTCCCTCCACCCTGTTATATTGGATTAGATTTTAAAACTATCATCCTATCCCATCCAGCTTATTGTATGGTTGTGTGTAACTGGATGTAGTGCTATAGCTGAACTATTCTCTAGATTTCTTGTCTTATTCGGGTCAACTAATCTAGATTTTGGTAATTTTTTTGTTCGACCAGTCTGGCTCTCCCTGTTCTACGAGTTTGACCTATGTATTTGACCTGACAATCATTCCTGCAGGGTATTAGATAAACTGAATTGTTTTGTTTTAAAGGCTCCATAGGATTGATCCTTTAACTGACAAAACTTGTTTCTAATTGAGTTTGTGGGTGGTTTGAATGCCGGCCACTTTTATTCCTGCATTGTTAAGAATTCT